TCGTTCAGCAGACGTCTCACACAAAGTCGACGTAAGGGCCCCGTTTCTTGGGAAATACACAGGAGAATTAAACAAGTGAGATATAATCAGAATAAAGTCTCAGGAAAATAAAGCTACACAGGAACAATGATGCTAAGAAATAGGCTGGGTGCCATGGCTCCAGCTGCTGAATCCGACACTCTGGAGGCGCCGAAGCGGGAGGATCGCTCAAGCGTCAGTGAGTCGAACCAGACTTGAGCAAGCAGTGAGAACCGAGACCCCCGTCTGCTACTAAAGAATAGAACAAGCCAGGCGCGTTGCTCAAGCTGCTAATCCTAGCACTCTGGGAGCGAGGTGGCGGATTGCTCGACGCATTCTTGCGGCTTAGTGACTCAGCGGCCAGTAATCCGTAGGCCTCCGAGGGTGCGGATTGCCGAAGTCAGGAGTTCAACAGCCTGAGCAGAGCAAGACCCGTTTACTATAATAGAAAGAAATTAATTTGGCCAACTAATAGTATATAGAAAAAATGTGCCGGGCATGGTGGGTGCATGCCTGTAGTCCCCAGTACTCGGAGGTTGAGCAACAAGATCGCCTGAGCACTCAGGAGTTGGAGGCTTGCTGTGAGCTGTGGGGCTGGACACCCATGGCATCCACTCTAGCCTGGGCAACAAGCGCAGACTCTGTCTCCAAAAAAACATAATACCTGAGTGTCTCATCATGTACCTCTTTGCATGTAAAAAACGCCTTTGCATTCCTACCATGGGAGGGATAAAACCAGCGGCTTGTTGGGGGAAGACGAGTGCGGTGGTGGCGGCTCTCCAGCCGACAGGAGCACGCGTCTGGCGGCAGGAGTCTGGCCGAGGCAGGACCTGGATGGCTTGGGGCTTGTCAGGAAGCATTTGCTTAGGACTGGGGGCGTTTTCTGCCACCAGTAGGGCACGCTCAGTCACCGTGCAGGTACTTCTAAGACCCCAGTGCCCAGCCCCGACCAGGGAATTCCCGAAGCGCAGGGCTGGACCAGGCACCCAGGGTCCAGGTGGGCAGTGGGCTGGAGAACAGGGCCTAACTCGGGGCCTGTGGGCAGGGGCTGGAAGGAAGGCTGGTGTCCCCGCCCACCTGTGCTCCCACGGGACCCACCGGCGAGGAAGGGTCCTCGGCCCAAGACGCTGCCCGGGCTCCTGACGCGTCAGCCACGATGCATGGGACCCCACGCGAGACCCATTTCACGAGACACTACCAGCTGGACGGCCGGGAGTCACAGGGCTGGGCCAGGGTGCTGCAGTCCCCCGCCACCCCAGACAGTGGCCAGTCCTGTCGCCCTCCTCGCGCTGCTTCTGGAGGTCATGCTGCCGGGAGTCTCATACGTCGTGCCACCCGTGTGGCGCAGGGCCTTCTGACCGCGTTTCGCCTCCCAGGCCCCCCCACTCCTGCCTACCCGGATGGGACTACGTACTCAGGCGCCCAGATTGACCCTGGCCTGCAGGTTTTGGAGTCACCACGTGACCCTGAGGCAGGAAACCACCTCCCCTGACAGGAGGAAAGAACGCCGCAGGTCTGGGCCGCCCAGGTTGGGGTCCACCGGCCTGAGACCCAGCTGGGCTGGCAGTCAGGCGGGTTTCAGGGTTGTGAGGCTGTTCTCGTGGGTGGGGGCTCAGCTGTGCACATGGTGACTGACGGCTGAGCCCCAGACCCAGGGCTCCTCAGCACTCGGCCTGTTCCTCGTTGCCGGCTAGGAGGGCGGTGGGCCGTCGCAGGCCGTAGCTCACAGCAACCTCCAAAGACTCCTGGTCAAGCGCGGATCCTCCTTGCCTCGAGCCTCGCGAGTAGCTGGGACGTTAGTGGGCATCGCCATCATGCCCGCTAATTGTTTTATTGGAGTACGTTATTTTTGTCCGTGTTTGTTTTTGTGTTTATATATTTTTTTTTTAGTTTGTCCAGCTAATTCTTTCTATTTTCGTTTCTTTTGTTTTTTTTTTTTGAGAAGAGTCCTCGCTGTTGCCAAGGGCTAGAGTGGAAGGACCTCGAGCAATCCACCCGCCTCGGCCTTCCAGAGTGTTAGGATTACAGGCTTGAGCCACCGCGCCCGGCCTTTCTATTTTCTTTTAGTAGAGACGGGGTCTCACTCTTGCTCAAGCTGGTTTCGAACTCCTGACCTTGAGCAATCCTCCCGCCTCGGCCTCCCTGAGTGCTAGGATTACAGGCGTGAGCCATGGCGCCCAGCCTATTTTCTTAGCATCATTGTTTCCTGTGTACTTTATTTTCTCTTGAGACCTTTATTCTGATTTATATCTCACTTGTTTAATTTCCTGTGTAATTTCCCCAGAAACGGGGGCCTTTACGTCTGGACTTTGTGTGAGACGTCTGTGAACATCTCTGCTGCCAGGGCCAGCCGGTCCCCTTCTCTTCCTAAAAACACGGCCTCTCCACCCCTGGCATTTTCTCTCCAACCCCTGGTCCCTTCCCAACCCCTGGGCCAAGGTGTTTGTCTTTGTGAACCTGCCTGGTTCTTAAGTTTTTTCACTTTCAAATTTATAATTAACTGTTAAAATTTTTGTTGTCTTCCGGTTATTCTTTTGTGACACTTTATTGGTTTTAAAGTCCAATATAAGAGAAGGACTCAGACGCCGGCAGGAGGTGCAGTGATCGACCGCACGTCGTGGAGTAAGGAGCTCCTCAAGCCAGCTGAGTTCTCTTACACTTGGTAAGAATGTAGTTCCCCGGGTTCTCATAAGACAGTCTCCGCCTTTCTAATTCTGCAACTTCAGGCGAGGCACCTGAGCCCCTACTTTGAGGCTGTGAAGCACCCAGGCTGGCCTTGAATTCTCAACTTGAGTAGCAGCGGAGGAAATGCTACCACCAGCTACTTTGTCTATTTTTTGTAGAGAGTGGACTTACTGTGGTCCCAGGCTGGCTCTTGAACTCTCGGGCTCAGGGAATCCTCCTGCCTCAGCCTCCTGAATAGCTGGGACTACAGGCATGTCCACCATGCCCGGTAAATTTTTTCTATATATATATATATTTTTTGTTTTAGTTGTCCAGCTAATTTCTTTCTTTTTTTTTTTTTTGAGACAGAGTCTCACTTGTTGCCCAGGCTAGAGTGAGTGCATGGCGTCAGCCCTAGCTCACAGCAACCTCAAACCCTGGCTCAAGCAATCCTCCTGCTCAGCCTCCGAGTAGCTGGGACTACAGGCATGTGCCACCATGCCCGCTAATTTTTTCTATATATATTAGTGGCCAAGTTAATTTTTTTCTATTTATAGTAGAGATGGGGTCTCGCTCTTTCTCAGGCTGGTTTTGAACTCCTGACCTCGAGCAATCTGCCCACCTCGGCCTCCTAGAGTGCTAGGATTACAGGTGTGAGCCACCGCGCCCGGCCAATTTCTTTCTATTTATAGTAGAGATGGGGTCTTGCTCTTGCTCAGGCTGGTCTCGAACACCTGACCTCGAGCAATTCTCCCACCTCGGCCTCCTAGAGAGGATTACAGGCGTGAGCCACCGCGCCCGGCCCATCATGGATTGATTTTTTAATTTTGCATGAATTTGAGTTTTTAAAAACATATCGCATTAAAATACTATTTATCAGCAAGCTGAGGCGAGAGGATCACGGGAGGCCAGGAGCTGGAGGTTACCGTGAAGTACAACCACACACACCACGCACTGCAGCTGGGTGCAGAATGAGATCCTGTCTCCAAAAAAAAAATAATTTTATATATATATACACACACACATATGTGCATGTGTACATGTCATTTATTGTGGCAACTGAGGTGTCTGACCACGTCCTCCTTTGAAACTGGCGCCTGGGCGAGAGCCTGGGTGTCCTCTCCTGTCTTCAACTTCTGTCTCTCACACTGGTCCTGGCTGCTGTGTCCTTCGTGTCCTAGAGTGACCCAGGTCTGTCTCCCTCGCCCTCCATGGTGAGGCCAGGCCGGGCAGCAGCGACGTCCCACAGCGTCACTACTGGTAGCCGCCGGGGAACGGGACAGGGGCGTCACTGAGGCAGAGGCACAAGGGACAGCCCGGGGCTCGGCGGTGGGTCGCCCTTCCAGGAGTGGCTGCCGCACGGACGGCCCCCCATGCGCCCTCCTTACGCCTGAGATTCTGACTTGGCTCATGGAGAGGTGGCATGACAGGTGTGATTTGTGACCGCGTGACAGAGGACATTTCCCCGTGGCGAGTGACTTTGGCTTTCTTGTCTGTAAAACGGGCAGGTGGCCCTAACCTCAGGGCTGCTGTGAGGCAGTGACGGGACCGTCCCCCAGTCTGTGCCCCAGGCTGTCCCTGTGCAGTGAGGAGGAGCCTCTGTGCCCCCTCATGTCCCCCCATCCTCCCAGACCACACAGAGCCGGTGGCATCCCCCCCCCACCCTGCCGGCTCCCGTGGGTGGTCCCCGGCCAGTGGGACGGGAGCCAGTGACACACGCCTTTCCAGCTGGTCCGGGAGGAGGCAGCTGCTGCAGGACGGCGCATCCCACGGTGAGGACCACCCTGGTGACACCAGCCTGCCTTCCCTGCGGCCTGCGCCGTCCCCGCCCAGCACGGCATCTGCACCCCGTCCTGCCCCATCTGAGCTTTCAGGGGAGCCACTCCGCTGTTCCCTTACATTCTTCCACTTTTTTTTTTTTTAAAACACAGAGAACAGTACGAATGGGAAAATCAGCCCCACTTGCCGCCGAGGAATAAACACAAGACTTAAAACAGTGACGTCACGTCCCAGCCGGAGCCGCAGGCCGCCCAGGGAGAGCCACGGGCTCGGCTGACGCTGCCCAGCTGGCCGGCAGGACCGCGCACAGAGCTGCGCAGCCGGGTGGGACCCCGGACCCGCCAGGCTCGGAGGACCCTGGGCCACAACCAGCCTCGGGGTGCTAGAGACGCCCCCCCACACCGGCAGCACAGAGGTCCCGAGGCCTCACCCCACATCCCTCACGTGCTCCGGTGCACGCACAAACACAGGAGATACGCATGGCACGTCTGAGCCACGAGCAGGCAGTGCAAACATGCAGACGTGCTGCATGTACATGTGCGTGGTTATGCACACGCATGTGCAAGCGTGTGTGCATCCACACAGATATACCCACAACCCCACAGCAGACCTGTTCGCACCTAGATATCACACTTGTGCACACGCAGACACACACACACATCCCACACGCATGTGCACACACACACACAGGTCAGCACAGACAAGAACACTCAAGGCACCTTCCAAACCTGCACGGGCAGATGTGTGCGCGTACTCATAACACACACATGCAACTGCACACTTCAGACGCCTGGACACGTGCACACACATGTGCACAGGACGTGAGCCCACACGCCCCGCCACACCCACGCGTGGCACAGGGCAGGGTGCGCCTGGCAGCTGCAGGCAGCCTTGTCATTGTGACCACGTGGCAGCCTCGGCCGCCCAGGTCCCTGGAGCCGGCGACCCCCTGCTTATGACCACCGTCCACCGTGGGGTCTGAGTGAGCGTCGAGGAGCCAACACACCCAGGGGACCCGGCCCTCCGCCCCTTTCCTGGGAGGACCTGGGGCCGCCCCCAACAGGCTGCTGTCTGCATGGGGTTGGGGGGCGGGGGCGCCGGTCCTCAGGCCCCTCAACCCTCGGGGCCCAGCAGCGCCCGGCGTCTGCCTGCGCCAGCCTCGCTCCCTGCCCCAGAGGGCAACCCTCTGCCCGGGCAGTGGCATCACTACCCATGCTCAGCCACCCAGGCTGGCAGCGTCTCCTCGTCCCTCCTCATCCAGCCAACCCCCTCAGCCGGCCCTGTGCACCTCCCGTCCTCTTCCTCTCTGTGGGGCACAGCCCGGTGCCCCTCAGGGGCTGCCCTGGGCTCCCAGGGGGCCCCGGTCCCCCCTCTGGACACCGACACCCCCCCACCTGCGGGGAGCCCCATGGCACTCAGCGGGCATACAGTAGGTGCCCACTCACCGAGCTTCTCCCACTGGAGAGATGTTCCCTGGTTGTGGGGTCGCCGCAGTCGGGGAGTGGGTGTCTTGCGTACCCCGTCACAGCCCCTCACTTGCCCTGCGCCCCGGCCGGCGCCTGTGAGCAGGTTCAGGCTCCCCCACCGCCCGGTCCCAGCCCTGGGGGTTTGCTCTTGTGTCTCCGGAGTTCAGGCTCTAGGCTGAGTTCTCTAGCTATAAAAAAGCCACCTCTTTGCAAGAAAAACTGCCAGAGGGGCCTTCTCCACGCACGAGTCTCGCTAATGCCTCACACATGTCAGCTGGTTCTTGTTTCGGAAGGCACGCCACCCCCCACCCACGGCTGCACCCACCCGGCCGGCCCCTCGCTCTGGGGCAGGCCAAGGGGCGTCGGCGATGAGCCTGGGGTCTCCCCGGCAGTTCGGGGGTCTCTGTCCCGAGCAAGCGGGTGGCATCGGTGCAGGAGGTGGGAGGAGGGGCTGGGCCTGGGGCTGCCGGAAGGTTCCAGGGTGGCAGGGAATCTAACCCACATGTTTTCTCTCATCACTGGTCCCTGGCTATTCCCTGGGGCGAGAGAGAGCCCGGCCGGATGTTGGGACACCCGCTCCCCAGTTTCCCAATTGTGGGGGGCTGAGCTGTCCCCACTGCCGGCTGCAGAGGATGGGAAGCAACCTCGGGTTGGAATGTCCCCTGGCAGAACCACCAGGACTTTCGAAATCAGGGGACGGTCCGGGTGCGGATGGGCCGGGCCAGACACTGGGCTTCACCCAAGCGGCTCCCACATTCTGAGGTTGTGGGGGGGTGCTGTCTCCGTGGCTTCCAGCGGGAGGCGGGCGGGCAGGCGGGGAGGGCTCCTGCCAGGCCGGTCACAGAGCCCAAGGGTGAAAGGTGCGGGGTTAGGGGAAAGGACCAGGGACCCTCCACACCTCAGAGTCCAAGGGGCTCAGTGGAGGCGGGGGCAGAGCCGTGGGACGGACCCAGCAGGCTCTGCTCCTCTCTGGGCGAGGAACTCGCTTGACCCTCCCCATGCACGGGCCGAGTTTGGCCCATCGTGCAGACAAAGCGACATGACTCGAGACCCAAGAACCTGGCAGGACCCTGCTCTCCCGGGAGCAGGTTGTCCTTCCCCGGGGCTCAGGGCAGCTGCTCGAGAGCCCCTGGCCGGGAGGAGGTGAGGAGGGCTCAGGGTCCGCTGTCTCCCGTGCCCCCCCGAGACTGTGGGATGGAGACATTGGGGCCCTCTAGGCTTGAAGGAGACGCAGGTGTGAAATCGCACCGGGACTCCTGTGAGCTGTGTGTTTGGGAGGAGCCTCAGTGAGGCCTGTCTGAGAAATGGGCCTGAGGCTGGTGGACCCTCAGGAGCCAGACCAGGGACTGGCGCCAGTCGGTGCTCGGTCCCCTTTGGAGACTATGCATTCTCAGACCCACGGCCCCGGGAAGGCCCACCGTCCGAGCCACCCCACCCTCTGCAGGCTACGGCAGCTGCCGGGCGTGGGTCTGGGGCCCCTGCACCCCAGAAGCAGGTTCTCGCCCCTTGTGATCCGCAGGCCCTGAGGACCAGGGGTCCCTGGTCCCATGTCCTGCCCACCGGGGAGCCGGGCTCCCGTTGCCCCTGTCTCCCAGCCCTGTAAACCGAGGCACAGAAGTACACACATGCCTGGTGTGCACGGCTCACAGGAGGTGGAGTTGGGGTTCTCATGCAGGATGGGGGTTCCGGAGTCCCGCTTGGACCAGGGTCACTGTCCTCAGGGTCTTGCAACGCCCAGGACAGCGTGAAGGCGGAAGGTGCCCAGCCCTCCCCACCTGGTGTCCCCAGCAGGGGCCAGGAGCCCCCGGTCTGGACTCCGAGGCCACCACCCCCCCTCCCACCACACAGCACAGGAGGCGCGGACGCTGCCTCGGTTTCCAGCGGGAGTTGCGGCCAGAACCCACCTGACTTACGGCACAGATAGATGGGGCACAGGGAGGGTCCCGCTTCCTTCCGCAGCCTCTCGGTCAGCCCCGGCCCAGGGTGCGCCCGGGACTCCCCAGGGAAGGCTGCGCGCTTGCGAGCACAAGGAGGCAGGTCCGGAGGGAGGCGCCGGGTCAGATGGCTTCAACGGAGGGGCGGAGTGTTGCTTTACACCCGCAGTAACGTGACTTTATGATACGAAAGTAACACGCTACTAAGAATTTGGGTAGTAAAAGATAAAAAGAAAAAAGAAAAAAAGAAAGTAACACGGCGCCAGGCGGCCCCAGCAGTCTCCCCACCTCCCCTCCGTGCACCTAATCCTGACTCCACTGCAGGCACCCCCCCCCATGCTTTCTTCTAGAATGTTCTGTGATAAGCCTGCGTTCCTCCACGCCGCCCGCCCCCTCCGCACACAAGCCCTGGCTGGTGGGTGTCCAGGGTCTCGTCCCTCCCCCTGGCCTCGATGTCCACAGAAAAGAGATGGAACGAGCAAAAGAAAAGTGACACAGCTTCCTTGCAAGACAGTTTTTAAAACGTTATTTAACTTGCAAGATCAAGTCCTTGAGGCAGCAGTTGCCAAGCGTGACCCGAGGAAGGCTGAACCCAGCTGTTACTCCCAGTACTTTTTAGCTATGGGAGAGTCAGGTCCTGTCTGAGCAGACAGAGGCTGGTGGCAATGCCTGAGACCGGCCGGCGGGGCTGTGGCCAGTGGACTCTCCCACGGCCGGCGGGGCTCTGGCCAGTGGCCTCTCCCACGGCCGGCGGGGCTGGGTGGGGCTTCAGGACGGTCGTCTGGGCCGCGACCCAGACAGATGCCTCGTGTCTAGAACATCTTACCTCCTGGTTAAGGGGAGGAGGTAGAGGAGATGTCTGCGTTAGATTCTAAGAACATGCCCTTTGGGAGTGATGGCAATCAGGTAAAAAATAATCAAAAATAAATAAACAAATAAAAATAATAATAAAACACTCTGGGAGGCCGAGGCGGGCGGATCGCTCGAGGTCGGGAGTTTGAAACCAGCCTGAGCAAGAGCGAGACCCCGTCTCTACTATAAATAGAAATAAATTAATTGGCCAATTAATATATATAGAAAAAATTAGCCGGGCATGGTGGCGCATGCCTGTAGTCCCAGCTACTCGGGAGGCTGAGGCAGCAGGATTGCTTGAGCCCAGGAGTGTGAGGTTGCTGTGAGCTAGGCTGACGCCACGGCACTCACTCTAGCCCGGGCAACAAAGTGAGACTCTGTCTCAAATTGAAAAAAAAAAAAAAACAGCCCTTGTTCTCCCAGGAAAACAGGCCCTTGCAGGGGCCGCTTTGGTTTCATACATCCAACAAACCCTTCCCACCCAGAGGGGACACAGAAGGTGGGACAGGGCCTTTGTTCTCAGCTGGGCTGGAAGGCAGCTCGCAGAAAATTCCAGAACAGGGAGAAAGTACCAGGGCCTGGGCCCTTACCAGCCTCCAGGAAATCTTCTCGGAGGAAGGGACAAGTTAGCTGAAGCCCCTGAAGGGCAGGCAGGAAAAAACACGTAGACAGGGAGGACAGGCAGATGTGGGCGGGGAGCCGGAGGGGCTGGCAGGGCTGGACCTCGTTCACAGGACGAGTCAAAGGCAGGAGCCTCAGTTTCCCATCTGCGAACAATGGCGGGTCTGAGGACGGCTCTCGAACCTTCTCGAATTAATGGGTAACCCACCGACTCCCTTCCCCGCACATCTCACTCCTCTGCTTCCAGACCCGACTCCTGTCTCCCAGCTGTGCACCCTCCAGAGGCCCCCGCCTTGCCCCGTCCGGCCCACTCACCCCGGCCTCCTCCACGACAACGCAGGTCCCTGAACAGGGGAGCTCCCCTCCCCCACACACAGCTGTGCCGGCCCCTCCACCCCCACAACACCTGCCTCTCCTCCCAGGCCTCTGCCCAGGAAGGTGAAAATTCGGGTGTTTCCGCCAGCAGCAGAGTGTGGGGGAGGGGAGGATGGAGGCGGGCGGGGGTGGGTCAGAGAGAAGGGGTGAGGGTGGAAGACAGGAGGAGGGAGCTTTGTTCCAGAACGTTCCTCTCTCCTGTCAGCCCAGACTCCAGTCTCCTCCCCAGACTAGAAAGTTCTTTTGCCCTGGAGCAGGTGGTGGCTCATGCCTGTAATCCTAGCACTCTGGGAGGCCGAGGTGGGAGGATCGCTCAAGGTCAGGAGTTCAAAACCAGCCTGAGCAAGAGTGAGATCCCACCTCTACTAAAAAATAAATAAATAAATAAAATAGAAAAAAAATTAATTGGCCAACTGAAAATATATAGAAAAAATTAGCCGGGCGTGGTGGCGCATGCCTGTGGTCCCAGCTACTCGGGAGGCTGAGGCAGGAGGATCGCTCGAGCCCAGGAGTCTGAGGTTGCTGTGAGCTAGGCTGACGCCACGGCACTCACTCTAGCCCGGGCCACAGAGTGAGACTCTGTCTCAAAAAAATAAAAATAAATAAAGAGACCAAAGAGTGACTCAGGCAAGACCAGCTCGATGGGTTGGGGAGTTTATTGGCAGGTACTTACGGGGTGCTCTCTCTGGGCGGCCTGGCGGTGTCTCACCTGCAAGATGGCGTCTGCCCACCCCAGTGGCGTTGTCTGGAATCTCTTCCCAGTGAGCGATAAGTGTTTGCAACTTTGTGTCTTTGCTGTTCAAGGTGAAGCACCCCACACAGGTGCGGCACCAGCATCCCACCCTGGTTACGGTGACAACATCACGGTCTGTCCCCGGGCGGGGGGTCGGGACGCTGGCCGTCAGCTGGGAGGCACCTCGGGACGGCATGGCAGCTCCGAAGCAGTCCCGTCCGAGCCGGCCGTTTCAGGGAACTTTCCCCGGGCACGGCAGTCACCCGGGTGCCGGCGTGTCCACTTCATCACAACTCCGCCCAGCGCGCCAGGCCGGCACCGTGCTCTGTGGAGCGATGGGAGCCTGCGTGGTCCCTCCGAGCCACAGGTCTGTCCCCTGCAGGTCCCACCCCACGAGCCAGGCTGCCCCCTTCCACCCTGTGAACCCAACGGAGGCAGCAGCGGGACTCGCTCTCACGACCCCCTGAACGGCATCTGGGGTGCGTCTCAGCGCTTGCTACCCTGAAGCCCGCTCCCCGAGAGAAGGCTTGCGTTAGGGCTCTGTCTTCGGCGTTGGCTGGGACAGACAGCAAATTCTTTCTGCAGCCTGGAGATTTCTCAGGCAGGAGGTCTAGTGGGGTAGTCTGAGGTTGTCCCAGGGACATGTCCTTGAGCTGTGAGATTAGTGTTTGTTCAAGTCTTGATAGGTGGGGACAGGGTCGAATGGGCTCAGAGAACCCTCTGGCTAAGAGCGTGATCAAAGAGAGAATGTTCATTAGTCCCTTTCTGAATACAAGGCAATTGTTCATGCTGTCACCTTTTCTTCGTTTATTTATTTATGAGACAGAATCTCGCTCTGTTGCCCAGGCTAGAGTGCTGTGGCGTCAGCCTAGCTCACAGCAACCTCCGACTCCTGGGCCCAAGCGATCCTTCTGCCTCAGCCTCCCCAGTAGCTGGGACTACGGGCATGTGCCACCATGCCCGGCTAATTTTTTCCATATATTTTTAGTTGTCCAGCTAATTTCCTTCTATTTTACGACAGACAGGTCTCGCTCTTCTCAGGCTGGTCTCGAACCTGGCTTTCAAGCGACCCTGCCTCACCCAAACGCTAGTTACAGTTGACCACGCACCTGCCACTTTTGTTTTTTATTTTTAATTTATTTTTTTTTTTTATTTTGATTTGAACGGAGTCCAACTTGTTGTGCCCGGCTAGAGTGAGTACCGTGCGTCACGCTACTCACAGCAACCTCAAACCCGGTCAGCGATCCTTCCTCAGTCCGAGTACTTTGGATCATAGGTCATGCGCCACCAATGCCGCTTAATTTTATATAAGTATCAGTTGCAATTTTCTTCTATTTTATGTAAGATGGTCTCGCTCTCCAGGTGTTTTGACTCCTGACTTGAGCAACCGCCCGCCTCGCTCCCAGAGTGCTAGTATTACTGCGTGAAGCCACCGCGCCCGGCCTAGCATTTCTTTTTTTATCCAAAGCTCTCATGTGCCACCTTTGCTTTATTAAGGATCAGCGGCACCATCTGTGGAGATGTGGTAGCAGGGAGTTTTGGCGGGATGGTCTTTGGAAATAAAAGGAAAAATGGTTGATGCTTGCAGCAGGTTCTAAGCCCAGCTTCTGGGCCGGGTGCGGTGGCTCACGCCTATAATCCCAGCTCTCTGGGAGGCCGAGGCAGGAGGATCACTGGAGCTCAGAGGATTGACACCAGCCTGAGCACAGTGAGACCCTGTCTCTACAAAACAGAAAAACAAAAAAATGAAAGATACACAAAACAACAGAACCCAGCCTGGCATGGTGGTGCGTGCCGGTAGTCCCAGCTACCCGGGAGGCTGAGGCAGGAGGATCGCTTGAGCCCAGGAGTTTGAGGTTGCTGTGAGCTAGGCTGACGCCATGGCACTCTAGCCCGGACAGAGTGAGATTCTGTGTCAAAAATAAAATAAAATAAAAAAGCAAACCCAGCTTCTGAGTCCAAAGGGCAGCAGGTTGGGATGGTTTCTAGACTTTGAGCTCTGAGTATTTTTAGATGGTGGGCTGAGCCTGCAGAGCAATCTGGAAAACTTGCCTGTGTGTGTAGCCATGAGAAGAAATGTACCATGAGGAAGCGGCTGGCTTGATTATAGAGGCTGAGAAGTCCCGCAGTCAGCTGTCCCCACGCTGCAGACGCAGAACAGCCAGCGGTGTAATTCCAGACCAAGTCCAAAGGTCCGAGGACCGGAGGAGCCTGCGGTGTACCCAAGTCCAAGGGCAGAAGATGGGGGATGTCCCGGCTCCAGCAGGCAGGAGGCAAAAAGGGAAAACTCCCCCTGGCTCCACCAGTCTGTTCTGTCCCGGCCCCAGTGGGCCGGATGACGTCCACCCGCCGTCCCCCAATTCTGGTGACAGGCCTCTCCGGAAATGCCCTCGGAGACACGCCTGGAAACAAGGTGTGATCTGGGCAGTGGGAATAACCCCACGGCGTTCCCAGAATGAACACGATCGGCGGTGGTTTCTTCCAAGTTTTCATCAATTTCTCTGGCCGCAGTGTGAGGCTGTTTCAGACGGGGGTTCGGGGGGCAGCCAGGAGACAACCCGCGTCCCTGAAAGGACCCACCAGGCGGGCGTCTGTTTTCAGTGATGCCAAGCCAGGAGAGGAGAAGAATTCAGAATGTCAATGTGGAAGCCATAGCCGGATACTGAGGGGAAAATTAGACAACTGAAGAATTCGGTGAGGGTTGACGAAATGGGTGA